CCCCAAAACCCCAAAACCCCAAAACCCCAAAACCCCATAATACTGTAATTTAGAAAAAATATGGGTGAGGAATGAAATCGCTATTTATTTATAACAAATTAACTTTAATAAAAAATATTTAAAAAAAATTAATGATAAAAAACAAACCCTTACACTAGCGAAAAGTTTGCTTGCATTATAAAAAATTAATTGTATATTCTTACTCATAATCATTGTTAAAAGTGCAGCATCTTTATCAAAGTTCTTCACATATTTACATTAATCTTTGCTTTATTCCTATTTAATGAACAAGCAAAATAAACATCAAGAGTATTTTTTAGGTTTCACAGATGTAAAATTAACTGGAGTTTTGAGGGCTGGGAATCCATCAGCTAATCTTTGCATTTTAATGTTAGAGGGAGATCTTTGACCACTTATCAGCTATTTCATCTTCTTGAATTCTTTTTCATTTTTCTACTCTTAATGCTAATTTATGAATCCCTTAACATCACTTCTTAATACACTGTTGCTGTTTCTTTTTTGCTTAGGCACATTCATCTACCTAATGGAACTCAGGTTACTTTGGTTTATTGATGGAACTCTCCCTTTAGGATTCATTCTTCTCATTTACATCAGAGACTAGTCTGCTTTCCTCAAAATGTCCTCTATCTAATCAGCATCGTCCAAGTAGTCTCGATGATCTTGGTCAAGATGATCGAAGTCCATTCCTCTTGACCGCAATCCAATAGAACCTTAAACTCTAGAATCCATTTCATGCCTAACAGTACTAACGTTAGAAAAGCCTCCTCTCATCGAACTGATAGTTTCATTAAGTAATGATTTAGGCTTGATAGCTTCCAACTGCTCTTAGATTTATTTGATTTCCCTTCTTTGTGAGTTTTCTTAATTGATTGTGGCTTCATTTTCGGGCCAGCTTCCTATTTACTTGGTTATAAAACTTTATTTCTTTTTAATTGTTGAGTCATGCATTTCCAGCCTCTTTATTACCTTTAGAGTGTCCTTTGGAGAATTCTAAACAGATATGGACTTAAGATTTGATGAGTTTAAATTTGTAGAGACTTGCTGAGAGGAATATTCAGAAACTCTGTCATTATTCTGTGTTTCAATAACTAATTTGCTGTTTGAGGAAGGAGGCCTTGTAATATTTATTCTCCTTATTTTCCGGATTTTTGTTAGATCTGGCTTAATTTTACTTTACTCAGTAATTTTATGCAAGACTTACTTTAGTCTCTCAGATTCCTTAACGTTTTCTAACTCTATCGCCTAGATCTGAGGATTTTTATGAATTAATGGCGTTCTGAATGACTCTTTTTACTCTATTTATTATTAAATACCGACCGCCCCAACTCCAAGGCTCTATTTACGGGGTTCTGTGACCTATTTTAAGAACATCATTGGGTCTAAATCGGGAGGTTGCAAATTATAAAAATCTATTTATTTTTAGTTTATTTCCAGCTTTCCTTTCTTCAACATCGGATTATGAGGAGGTTATTTTTAAGAATTGCTAATAATTAGATCATCTTCTGGAATTTATTGTTAATTTAGTTTACTCATTAGCTATTGTATTTTTCTATCTATCAAGTTATCATCTTAAGCGGTGGTCGTGTTATTAAGAACAGATCTATTTCCAAGAGATCTTCTGCTTCTGCGGAAGCTGTACAGAGATTATGTGTCATCCTCTGTCAACTCATAGTATGAATCATCCTCATTGTTTTACCTACTTTCAGCTGCTCCCCCTCCTAGTCCTCTTCCTGGACTTTCACAGTTATTATCATAATCTTCGTAGAAAGAATCTTGCCTTTCAAGTTGTTGAACGTAATTGGGTGACTTCATATTTTGAGATACATTGAAAAGTGGATTGTTTTGCTTTACAATTCTAATCAAGCTTGAATCTTCCAATGTTATGTTAGTTGGGTGTCATAATGATTCAATTTTTTACGAAGGGAGTTACTTCCCAGTTAGCGACATAGAATTTTAATAGAATTGAAATGTGTCTGACATTATTTTATAATAATTCCACTAATTTCTATTGGAATTGAAAGTGAATTCTTACACAATTTGTAATATCACAAAGACTTGGGGTTTTGGGGTTTTGGGGGAGTCTGTCGGAGAAGCTAAGC